CCTGCACTTTATTATATTTATGTCTTAAATGGTTTTTATAATATGTACTGTAATTAATACGAATAAGGAAGCGGAATCTAGGGAACTAAATGGAATCAAATGTAACCGGTAGTATAATGTAATAGTAGACAGAATAGAAAGTAATCCTCGTTTAGCCTTTAGATATAATAGGAGTCAGTGGATGAGCCGGAGAATACTTTCTATCAATAAAGGAGGGTGAATAATGTAATAGACCGTTGGAAAATTAATATTTTGTATCATCGTTCACTGTAAACATTAATAAACTGTAAACTGTTAAAAACGATGGTTGTTATAATTGCTTAATTATTTAATTGCTGTTGTTAATCTATTTTGTGTGCATTGTAAACTGTTAGGTTGTTTTTATGGAAGCCGCCCTGAGCCGGCCTCGGCCGGGAGGGCAGGGTAGAAATCTAATCAATCAATCAATCACTCCTGTGCTGACAAAGGGAAACGGACATCTGCCACACAGGGATGCCTGTGGCCCCCCCCCCCCATTCACTTCCTCAGCAAAATGGTGTTTGGTGGTGGTGAGATCTGGAACAACAATGGGGTTCGTTGGCGGGGGGGGGGGCTGTTCTCCTTGCCCACCCTATGCCAGCCCTCTGAGCATACCCAGACCAGCAGCACCCAGCAGCAGAAGAAGAAGAGATTGGATTTATACCCCATGGCCCTTCACTGCTCAAAGGTGTCTCAGAGCAGCCGACAATCTCCTTTCCCTTCCCCTCCCCACAACAGGCACCCCCTGGGAGGTCCGTGGGGCTGAGAGAGCTCTTGACAGGAACTGCTCTTCTTCAAGAACAGCTCTTGCCAGAACTACGGCTTGCCCAAGGTCATCCAGCCAGGTGCAAGTGGAAGAGGAGTGGGGAATCGAACCCGGCCCTCCCAGATTAGAATCCGCGCACTTCACCATGACACCAAACAGGGGCGTTGGCGTGCCCCTCAATGCTTCCTTCGTTTAGGCACACCAACGGCATACGTCATTCAGCCCAAAGTCATTGTCTGCATATGCCCCTGGCGCCCCCCCCCCCCGTTTCAGTTATCAACATTCTCTGCCCCCGGGATTCTGGGTTTCAAACACAGAATTTCTAGAAAGGAAGTGAAAGAGACAGAGATGTCCCTGGGCTCTCCTCCGAAGCAATCACATTTGGTGTGGGAGCGGGACCAACAGTGGGGGTGGGTGGGGGGGGGGGGAAGAGCTTCATTCCTCACCAGATGCCCTGCCATGTGCAGCAGCCACAGAGAGAGAGAGAGAGAGAGAGCGCACACACGCACATGTGCTGGTGTTTCTCAGAGATGGGAGGAAGGAAAGGGCACACTAGCAAGATCACAGCAACATCTCAAGCGAGGAAGAGAACAGGAAACCATCGATATAAGGAGAGGAAAATCTAGCTAGCTTGTGTGAACAGGGAGCAGGAAGGGACTCGCGCAAAGATTCAGACCTCTCCTGCTGAGCCCTGGGAGGGCAGTTGCATTCAAGCAGCCACGCAGAAGAAGCCCCAGTAGGTACTGCTGGCAGCCGTGGGGGGGGGGGGGCCCCCGGGCAGCCCCCCGGGCCCCTCCCCCCCCCCCCCCCAAGAAAACCCTTTTGAGATAGGAGGTCCAGCAGTGGGGCCAGGACACTAGAAGCCCCCCCACTGTTGCCCCCCCCCAGCACCAGGAATACAGGGCATCCCTTGCCCCAGACCGAGAGTTGCTATCTACGCCGTGTGCCCCAGACATAAGAACAAAAGAGAAGCCAATGTTGGATCAGGCCAAAGGCCCACCTAGTCCAACACTCTGTGTCACACGGTGGCCAAAAATACCAGGTGCCATCAGGAGGTCCACCAGTGGGGCCAGGAGACTAGGAGCCCCTCCCACTGTTGACCCCCCCCCCCCCCCCCCCCCAAGCACCAGGAATACAGAGCATCACTTGCCCCAGCCTGAGAGTCCCTATCTATACCTTGTGGCTAACAGCCACTGATGGACCTCTGCTCCATATGCTTATCCAATTCCCTCTTGAAGCTGTCCATGCTTGTAGCTGCCACCACCTCCTGTGGCAGTGAATTCCATGTATTAATCCCTCTTTGGGTGAAGAAGGACTTCCTTTTATCCGTTCTAACCCGACCGCTCAGCAGTTTCATGGAGTGCCCACGAGTTCTTGTATTGTGAGAAAGGGAGAAAAGTACCTCTTTCTCAACCTGCTGTGTCCCAGGCATCATCTTGTAAACCTCGATCATGTCACCCCCTCAGCCGTCGTTTCTCCAAGCTAAAGAGCCCCAAGTGTTTTGGACACTAGTTGTTGACCCAGCTGCTGAGTATATGAGACTCCAGGACGGGAGGTTTCCCATGCAGAGCTGATGTGTGCCGCTGCTCCATTTTAACAGGGAATCACAGGTCAGTCCCCGCGCACCTCCTTCCAGACACCCAAAAGGACCTGCCCTTGAGCCAGTGGGAGAGCAAGAAGGCAAGTTTCTGAGTTCTTAAAATGACTTTGGCAAGAGATGAAGTCAGTGGCTGAGGACGGGGAGGAGGGCAGAGTCCCCACGAACGACCTCTAGCTCTTTCTCCTGGGACATGGAAGAGAGCCACGAGGAGGCGCTTCTCCCCAATCTGGGCCCCTTCTGGGCAATGATGCAGACCCCCGACGTGGACCTCCACATGGCTAGAGCGCTTTGGGGGCTGGCTCCAGGTTCTTGGACATTTGGGGGGAAAGGCGAGTCTGGCTGCGTTGGTTCCAAGCAAGTAGAAAAGGCTCCTAGGAGGAAACTCCTGGCCTGGTGAAGAAGTGGCAGAAACTGCCCGAGATCCAAAGAAGAATGGAGAAGGGCTGGGAGGGAGGGAGGGCCAAGCCTTTCAAGGAAGGAAGGAAGGAAGGAAGGAAGGAAGGAAGGAAGGAAGGAAGGAAGGAAGGAAGGAAGTGCTGCGGGTGAGGTGGTATCGGGAGCCAGGCGGCCCTGAAGGCCCAGTGGCCCTGGAGTGCCCACAAACACGGAACACGCTGAGCCACTTCCCGGCACTGGCACGTAGGAGCTGGCTGCCTCTGTGTGTGGATGCTGTCAGGAAGCCTAGCCACCCGCTCTCCCCATTCCTG